GTGATCAATATCTCAGCATCGTCCACATAACCTCTGGGCGGTGCGTCACGAAGAGCATCGAACGCCAACATGTCAAGCAGGCCGCATCATTAGCACTATCCGCAGAAATGACATTGTGAGGAGTGGCAGCCGCTTCTAGGGTTTGAAAGGGTGTAGGACATGACAGGAGGTAATTTTTCTTACGATGAACTGAAACACGAATTGATCGATCAGTACGTTGGGGCCCGGGCAGCCTGGTGCTCAAGGCGGCCTAGTGTTCACGGTGGCCTGACGTTCAAGGTGGCCTCACGCTCAGGGTGGCCTGGTGCTCAGGGTGACATGATGTTCAGGGTGGCGTTGTGCTCAGGGTGGCCTAGTGCTCAGGGTGGCCCAGCGTTCGGGTGACCTGGGCTCGGGGTGGCCTGGTGCCCAGGGTGGCCTGGTGCTCAGGGTGTGGCATGGTGCGCAGGTTGGCCTGACACTCGGGGTGACCTGGCGCTTAGGGTAGCCTGGTGCCCAGGGTGGCCTGGTGCTCAGGGTGGCGTGATGCTCAGGGTGGCCTAGTGCTCAGGGTGGCCCAGCGTTCAGGGTGGCCTGGCGCTCGGGGTGGCATGGTGCGCAGGTAGGCCTGGCACTCAGGGTGACCTGGCGCTTAGGGTGGCCTGGTTGCCCAGGGTGGCCTGGTGCCCAGGGTGGCCTGGTGCCCAGGGGGGCCTGGTGCCCAGGGTGGCCTGGTGCCCAGGGTGTCTGGTGCTCAGGGTGGCCTGGTGCTCAGGGTGGCATGGTGCGCAGGTTGGCCTGGCACTCAGGGTGACCTGGCGCTTAGGGTAGCCTGGTGCCCAGGGTGGCCTGGTGCTCAGGGTGACCTGGCGCTCGGGGTGACCTGATGCTCAGGGTGGCCTGGTGCTCAGGGTGACCTGGCGCTGGTGACACTCGTGACCTAACAATACGTAGCGCGTGAACATTCGGAACATTCCCGGGTCAATGGAAATCAGGGAAGGTCTAAACTGAACTGAATCGGGGATGTGCTGCTAGCAGGTGGTCTAGACAGCCTCTGGTCGGTAGGATATCCCGTGAATCCGTCTAAACTGAACTGAATCGGGTATGTGGTGCTAGCAGG